ACACCTGTCCTATTCAGGATGTCACCAGTTACAAACTTCCTGTGATATAAGGGACCAATGGCTAAGTCTGGCCAGGCTATGACTTAAAAGTAAAAATAACTGAATTGACCTCATGTCTTACTCGGGTAGGAATACAGCAGAAATGATGTGCCTGTTGCTAAATGGAAGATCTATGGCTCATCCCTGTTCGAGTTTATCTTCCTGTTAGGGATAGAGGAATCACTCCTGTGTGAAACCACCCTCCTAAAAGAGAGCTTGCCGACAGACACCAGTGTTGTGGAGAAATCCGAGCTGCGGGCGAGTCTGTCTTGTTGACAGAACTTTGCAAACGAGGTTTTCAGCCTTGTAGCAGCCCTGACTACCCAACCCTTGACCAAAATGTTGCTTAATCCTGGAGCTTTTATTACCTTAGAAAAGCAGGATGAAGAGACTTCATTATAACAGTGAGTTAATTAACTGACTCTTTATCAGGTGTTAGTGCCAGTGGTTTCTGCTCAGAGTAAAATTTAATTGCTTTTCCATCAGCCTTTACTTTTAAATGAACAAAACATGTCAGGAGATTATTGATAATCTTTAGGTAGAATCTACTTTTCGTTTGCGTTTTGTGTCGAGCAAATGAAAATATATGCCAGAGAAATACACATGATGAATATATTGAGGTTTGTCTGGAAAGCAAAGTCAAGACCATTCAAAAGCGCTGAAGCAAAACACACACTAATTTTGATTGTAAAAACAAATTTCTCTTTTTAAGGCATCCTCATTGGCGTTATGCGGTGCTCCTTGAAGTGACCCCCTGACCCTAGCTCTCCTAGGCAAGCACTCTTGGTTCTCCTTGGATAGTTGATATGAATCTCATTTTACTGCTGTAGGTTTTATAGAGATCATTCCAGAAATAACAACCCGAGGCTCAGAGGGAGGTCTTTGGTGGGGGTGGAGGGGAGAAGGGGCAGAGGCAAAGTTTGTGTGTGCTGTGGGCTGTGTCTCATCATAAGTATCCACTGAAAGTGAGGCTGTTCATCTAACTTTCCATATTAAAGAGAATCAGTTTCAGCTTTGAGTTGACTCTCATGGTTAGTCATGAAAAAATGGAGCACTGGTTGGAGCTTTTCTGAATGAGTTGCCATTGAAGATCCTTTTACACTGTGCTGTGTGACATTATGAGACTTCCTGAATTCAGAGGCTTATGGGAAAAGCAGATGTAACACTGATGCTTAGAATACTAATGAATAAGGCCTTATCATAGTAAACTGAGACTGTGTTTTCTTTGCTTAAAAAAAATTATAAACTTTTCTGCATGAATGTATGCATCTCCCTTCCCCCCACCTCATATAACCTGTATAATAACTGTGATAATCAAATTTAAGATGAAGCACCCATTAAAGGTAAGCATGAGGGAAAATAACTATAGGGCATAGTCATTAAATTCTTATGATTCATTAAACATCCATTAAAGTAAGCCATGAAGGCCAAGCCCTCAGGAGTGGTCACCAGTGCATCTGCAGGTCACCAGTGAATTGCACAGGCATCCATTTCTTTCAAGAATCTTGCAGGAAGAAAGGAGTGTAGACTGGAGCCATTCATTCCGTTGTTAGACAGGATTCATGGAAGGAAGGGTGTAACCTGAAAAGCAGGTGATTTCTGTGCTGGGACCCACACTTTGGCAGGAGGATCTGGCAGAATAGATCTAGGGGAACATGTCTGGCACTTGCATGATGTGCCATCTAGTGGCTAAGTGAGCCCAACATTAAGGCAAAGGAAGATGATCCTTTCTGGTATCTTACACATACAAACTGTCCCCCACTTTATCTGGGCAGCTGTAGGAGGTTTGATACACAGGCTAACTAGTATGGGGGGCGGGGGTCTGTTTACTTAGAAGCCACATGTGGAGCACAGAGTGCTGGGGGTGGGGGGAGGACACCAGTATAGTAATTATGCAAACCAGAAGTTGCAAACTGGCAGTGTTCAGCCCACAGAGTACTTTTTTCCATTTTGTTTTATTGACACGTAATTCACATATACAGTATAGTACACAAATCTTCAGTGTACAGCTTGCTATATCTTTACCTTTGTAAATGTTTACCCTTGTATACTCCATGTAATCACCACCTAGGCCAAGCTATAGGATGTTTCCAGAATCCTGGTAGTCTCCTCCCAGGCCCCTCCCAGAAGTCCCGCCACATCATCACTGCTAGTTGGAACTCTGTAGCCAGAGATTTGCAATGGCATCATGAAGGTACATACTCCTAACTCTAACCTCTGAGAAAGAATAAAAGTCTATAATTACCATTTTAGTAGTTTGCCACAAAAGAGAAAGAGAGAGAGAGAGAGAGAAAGGGTTTTCTTACTCAAAACTTTCTGTGGCTTCAGTCCCTCTTTCCTGGGTTTATTTCAGAGTCCAGGAGACATAAAGATCTCTTTCCCTGGTCTAAATACCTAATACATTGTTTTTCTTACCGAGCTTCTCACTAAAAGATACATCCATTCAGTGCACTCACTGTATTTTCTGCAAGCAGAGTGTCTCTGCAGGCAGCCAACTGAATTTTCAAAGAAATCCCATTACTTTTGAGCAGCATGTCAGAAGTGCCACAGATTGTCATGGTAAAGCCTATGAATTCCAATGCAGCATTGCAAAAATTCACATGAATGCCGTGTCACCAGTGACTGTATGACATTCTGTTCAAATGAAGCCAAGCAAATCATAATGGTGAGAAAGGTTCTCAGCCTCTAATCCAGCAAAGGCTGATGCATACTGAATAGCATAATGCAATCATTGTTGCTATTTCTACAGGACCTCTTTCTGTGCAAATTAAACTGCAGTCTCACTAATGGCAAAATTAATAGCATGTCAAGAAGCCGAGGTAGTTTTGAAGTAAAATTATTGTTACAATAAATAAGGCAATAATATAGGCATTATCCTAATTTATTCCTTTTTTACAAATAACTTGCATTTTTTTTCTAATTATTTGACATGGATTTGGAAAATGGAAGAATGTAAAGAGGATAATATACACAACCTCTAATCCATCAAAGAAAGTCTATAATGACTTTGATTAATTCCTTTCAAGGAAATCATATTCCTTTTGTGTGTGCGTGTATATGTTTTTTATGGAGTTGAGATGATATGTATTTTTCTCTATCATAAGAAACTCTTAAAACATGTTTAATACTTAAAATGACTTCATAATTTCTGTGTTAAGAATGAAAACTAATTTTTTACCATTTTGTGTTATTGGAAATTTTGATTGCTGTTTTTAAAATAGTTATAAAGATTTAGTCTAAATATTTAAAATGAAGGCTTTGACTTCCTACCATACTTACTGGCCAGAATTTCCAGAATAGTGTTAAATAATAATGGTGATGTTGGCTGTTTGTGGCTTGTTCCTGGTTATAAAAGCAAAAATTGATGTTTCTTAAATATGGTTACAGCTGCTGATTTGAGTTGCTTAAAAATCCTATTAAATAAGTCCTATGAGTTCTAAATTTTAAATATCAGTGATGTAGAATTGAATATTACCAAATGTCTTTCATTGCTGTTGAAATAATTAGGTTTATACCCAGATGGATATATGATATATTATACTAATAGATTTCCTAATATTGGTCCCCCTCCACCAGAACAAATACTGCTGCAGCACAGAGTAATAAACTTCCAATGAATTGTCAAATTCAATTCCATACTGTTGATTTTAGGATTTTAATATCCAAGTTTATTGTTCTTGAGAGACAACTAGTGTGGCAGGGTTAGAGATACACTCTGTTCTCATTCTGGTCTGTGCATGTGGGCTGCTGAAATTGGAGGTAGGGAACCTGTTTCTGTCTATTTTTTTTTCTTTATACCTTATCCCAATTGCAATAAGTGGATTTTTTATTTTGTGGACTCAAAGTACTTTTCTTAACCTCTCTCAAAGCACTCATGGCACTCGTTCTCTTATAAAACTCTCTGCATGTCTGCCTTCTGTTCTTGCGTGAGCAGTTTGTGCCTTAAATTCAAGAGTTTTTCATCCCTCCCCCTTAGCCACTAAGTATTGTCCACCTACCCTCTCCTGTGGGGTGCCAGCAAAGTACTGCAGTGGCAGGTGGTGGAAATACACTTAGGTGAGTTTTATCAACACTCTTGGATTGCCAAACTAGCCCTACAGCCAGCTAAGGAGAAAAACAAGGAAGTAAGAGGGATTCCAAATTTCTGTGGGTATTGTTCTTGCCTGTGGCAACAATCTGAGCCCAGGAGGCCTGAGTCAACTTCCAAAGCCTTGGGAGCAGACACAGCAAGAAAGCACTGAAACCAGCTCTCCTGTACCTGCCTGGGTGGCTGCTCCATTCTGGTCCTGATGGTGTGTTACAGAGAGAATCAGTGACCTCAAATACTTTTGCCTACCTCAAGTACATGCTCTTAAAACTAAGTACGTTCATTACAGTCATAATTTTTTAACATCTTTCTAATACTCACCTCAAGGCATCATTTCAAAACCGTATCTTTCAATCGTCAATTCTTTCCCAGGGGAAGGCTTACAAAATTAAGAACCATCTGGGGGCTCCCCTACAAGACTATAAACCACTTGAGGACAGGAAATAGGACTGAAGTATATTCTAGCTCCCACTGTACTAGGCATGTGGTTTAAACAGTGTTTTTGAAAGTCATCCTTTTTTCTTGAAGTGTAATGTTACTGAATGGTATTCCTCATTTATTTGAAGACCAAAAGCAACTTCAAAAGCCCTTTAGCCAACAGAGGTAGAATCACAACTGAAAACTTAATGGAGATTAATGGAAGAAATGCTAACAAAAGTAAATGGGGAAGTACCCTGTTCAAGCCAGAATCAAAATGAATGTTTGCCATCAGGGAAATAGTTCTGGTGGTGACTCTTCCAAATACCCAGGCGGCCTCGTGTGGAGGGAGTGGTTACTGGGTACAGCTGACTTCCTGCTCCTGTGCAGGCACTGGAGTGTCTCGGAAGGCAAAGTGAAAAGTTGTGTTCAATGACACCTTTCTCCTTTTCCTTAGGGTGTTAAATACCACGCTGTTCGAAAGTTGGGAGATCGTTGGACCTTATCCTTCCTGGTGGGTTTTTAACATACTGCTGTTGCTAGTACTAGGCCTGAACTGCTTCTGGTCTTTCTTGATCATAAAAATAGCTTGCAAAGCTATTTCAAAAGGCAAGGTAAGATAAAATTCACCATTTCTCGTATGTCCCAGATCATTGTGTTACTTAATTGCTCTGAATCAATAAGAATATTATTCTTTATTATTTCAAATTTCATCAAAATTGATTTTTTCAAACTTTAAAATAACCTCCTAGAAACACAGACCAAATGTTTATTGACTTCTGTTTATTTAGTTCATATTTTTAAGCTGTAGCATTGCTTTACTGATGATTCCCAGTGTTCTGCATTTATAATTTCAGATTTAATAATAGATTATTTGTTATGTTCTTTCCTTCTCTCTGTCTCCCTTGGTCCTTCTCTGGTTATACTTATACTGAACACAAATTTAATGACTTATCTGCTTTTGTAAGAAGGGTTACTATGCATTTATCCCTTTTCCAATAAAATTTAGTTTCTTTGGTTAAAAAAAATGTACTCATGAGGCTGATTTGAATAAAGCTTCTTGAGCCCCAACCTCTCTGTGTAGCGCAGTGACTTTTCTAGAACGTTCTCTATGACATTTTCTTATTTTCATTGTTTGTTCTCTTCCTTCTGCCACCCTGGAAGGCTGGGAAGTGGAACCCTTTACATGTAAGTTTCTCACTACTCTCTCTGTCCTTATCCTGGATGCCGCGTTAGCCTGCTGGAGGGGCACTCAGATGCTTTTGTTTTCATGCATATTGTTCTGTATAATCTTTGGCACTGGCTGGAGGCTCTAACTGAGGTATGGCTCCCACCAGCTGCAAAGGGATACGGGGAACAGCTCAGTTCCTGTCCTTTTGTATGAGTTTGCCTTCCGCTGAACTTTGCATGATCCCACAGAGAAGGAGAGGAATTTTTTCAGCGGTGTGTAGCCAACAGGAATAGACTAGAGTGAAGCAGGAGAAAGAGAAGTAAGTTGAGGAGAGGAGCAACACAGTCTCAAATGGAGTACTCAGCATTAGCTCCTTTGCCTGGTCTGCCCTGGACCACAGGGCAGCACTTAACCAACCACCTTGTCCTCAGTGAGGAAAACAGAGCTGACCCTCCCACAGAGGGTCTTGGGGCACCTCGTCATGGACTATGAAGCCAGTTCTCAGTGTCAGCTCTTATATAATTCCGCATAATCGTGCATGATAGAAATGTACACCCGAACCCTATATGATCCTATGAATCAATGTCACCCGAATAATATAATAAAAATAAGTCCAAAATATTTTGATCAATGCATTGTTTAGAAGCAAAAGGCTTTTTTTCCTGTGAGCTCTTACTCTGTAAAGTTAGTATGTACTTCTACCTGCATGCACAGCGCTGTCAGCAGGATAACAATGACGGAAGGTACAAGGAGCGATGATTAGATTGCGTGTATCCTCACTGCATTGCTGTTTCTAGCAGATGTATTCTCTATTCTCTTCTCTCCAATTTATTCCTTCAACTTTACGAAGAGACAGTCATTAGTTTTATTCCACATCTCAGGCTTCATAATATTTTAATTGGTATTACTGCTCACCTAGGACAGTAAGGTTCATGGACATAGGTTGTGGACTCCATTTTTTTGTGGGTTATTTTAAGACATTCCAAATTGTTTCTTTCTTTGAAGGTAGCATAGCTATAGATTTTTTTTCCCAGTGCAGTTACAAATAACTTTACTAATCATGCAAATGTAAATTAATCACTCTCTGAAACTGGAGTTTTCTTTTCTACTAGCTGCTTAATTTATGACTAACAGATTTTTAAATGAAATGGAACCCTACTGTAGTGCCATCTCTGTGACCCTGGTTTTTAAGTTAGAAGTATTTTTACATTCTACTTGTTTTAATATTTCAGTATCTAAATACCAAATCTTCTGGGAGACGGTCCTTGTAAGTTTAGCCTCACCTCAGGTGGCATGGAGTGAGGTCCATCTTTACACTGTTTACCCGGCCATCTCCAGTCCCCTTGCACCTGACAGAGGTGATACTGTCTCAGAACGGTGGCTTCTTCACTTGGAAGGGCACTGGATCCCAGGGTTCTAACGGTGGGGAGTCGTGGTGGCATAGAGAGGACATGACGTGAAGAAACTCCCCCAAATGGTCTCATATGCTTCCCAGGAGACTTTGCCACGTCCCCCAACCCACCTCCCAGAGAGTCTCAGGTGACTAGACTGGGAAAGCTCTGTGAAGCCAGGCCACCAAGTGCTGTAGGCACCCCACTTAGAAAGGAAGTCGATGGCACTCAGCTACTCAAAGGTCTTAAGATCTTTAGGGTAAAAATGCATATGGTAATTTAGACTTACAGAGTAGGAGTTTCAAACTATTTTATGTTAATATTAAAAGCAATAGAATATTTCCTTAATTTCTACTGAAATTAGAGGGAGGACCAAAAAAAACAGAATTTGTTAAAAAATTGTATATTCTTACATGTTTAAACTTCAGCCACCTTCAAAGTTCTCTCCACTTGATGCAATGCACCTGTCAAGACATTTGTTTTCCACTGCCCAAAATAGTTTTTGAACATGTCAATTTTGATGCCTTGTAGTACTTCTGCCATTTTTTATTTCACCTCTTCCATATCAGCAAAACATTTCACTTTAAGGACTGTTTTCATCTGGGGAGACAAAAAAAAGTCACTTGTGGTGAGATCAGGTGAATAGGAAGGGTTGTGTCCAGGGGTCATGCTGTTTTGGTCAAACACTGCTGAACACTCAGCATAGTGTAGGCAGGTGTGCTCATAAATCACCCATCATGAAATGGGCAAATGCTTTGAAAGAGTCTTCAAAAAAATTCACTAAAGCCAAATGCAACCTCTCACAACGACACCAGCTGATACAGATGGGTTCCTAGAACACTCACCTAGAGGGAAGCCTGCACTATAAGGCGCTCGCCCTCCAGAAGATAATTCAGTTTTTTGAGTCCCCCTTTGTCCTTCCATGCTAGACAGTCTGATTGTTTTTCATTTTTTATGATAAGGTATAGGTTTCTATCTGTTGTCTTATGTGACCATCCTCATTACTTAATGAGACTGAATGGAGGACTGAAGAACCCAGGAGTGACGGGAACCAATTCATGATGATTCAGTCAGTAAATTTTCTTTGGGAAATATTTAAAACTAACCCTCAGCCAGCAGGTTCTCAAAATACTCCCTACTGCCATTAGTTATTATATCATATATAAAACAAAATTTCTACTTAATTCTAACAGACAGGAAAGAAAGCCAAATTAAGTCCTGAAACAATGCATTGCAAAAACAAATAAGGATGATGTTTTGATTAACTGAGTTAGTGAATGTCTCCATTAGTGTAGTCAATTGAGAGCTGACTTTAACTGATTCTCAAGGAGAATGTGATCATCAGAGCGCAGACTGACTCACTCGTCCAAATTCCTGCAATGCCATTCCAGTAGTGCAGTAGGCCACTTTGCTGGTCAAAGCACAACTCGTGGTCTAACACATTCTCAATACAGAAAGGTCAGCAACCATACAGAAGTCAGCAAGCCCTGACCTGTGTGACTCAGTTGGGCGTTGTCCCACAAAGTAAAGGGTTGCTTGTTCGATTCCTGGTCAGGGCACTTGCCTGGGTTGTGGGTTTGGTCCCCACTTGGGGCATGTGTGAGAAGCAACTGATGGATGTTTCTCTCTCACATTGATGTTTCTCTCCCTCTCTTCCTTCTTTCCTTTCTCTCTAAAAATAAGTAAATAAAATATTTTTAATGAAAGGTCAGCAAATCTAGCCCACATTTCTTATTAACTGACTTTGTCACCCAAACTGTGTATCTCCAGTAAAAGAGAACTAATTACTATGGCAAAGTTTTTGTCCTCTTTGATTTTTTAACATTTTAACTGTTTCACCTTGTATATGATTGCATGTGATTCTGAGCATGCCTACCTTGATGACTCCCTAAGAGCTGGTTACACTTACCTTCTTGTATTCCACAGGTGTCCAAGGATGATCGAAGTGATATTGAGTCTAGCTCAGATGAGGAGGACTCGGAGCCTCCAGGGAAGAGCCCCCACACTGCAACTGCTACCAATGGAACCAGTGGTACCAACGGGTATCTCCTGACTGGCCCTTGCTCCGTGGATGATTAATTACTCAAAACTACAAGTCCGGAACAAAGTGAACTATTTGTTCCCAGAAGTATTTAATAAGTTGCAAATGCAGTTCCTTTCATAATATCTCAGCACCAGAAACAAAAATTAGGATTATCAAAGCATTTTGAATAGTGCACTGCCATATGTCCCGTCTGTGAATGAAGAAGAATTATCATTCTCTATATGTAGGCATGCTGTATGTAATTGACACAAGGGAACAGTATTTGCATTTGTATTGTCTTAGAATATTATTTATTTTTTTGTATTTGTTTGTAAATCTGTGGGCAAAAGAGGGTTTCCTCACCCCTTCCACTTTCCGGGTTGATGACAGTGAGGGAGACGCTCCATCTGCTTGTACTCCTTTCTACTGCTGTGGGCCCGTCTGCTAGGAGCATCAGCTTAGTTAGCCTTAGAGCAAGCAAAACCCAATGCAAGATTCTCGTGCAGCTCCGGATAGGTTTGCTTTCTTAGTGTCAGTGCCCATTTAGAAATTGCCTATAGTCTCCATGACCATTCTCCCAGTGTATAGTTTAACCAGGATGAGCTAGGTTTTTTTAATTATCACTTTTCATGGCCATTTAGCAGTTTGGGTTAAAGAGTATAGTTGTAGGAGGGCTTTTTAAAAACGTTCATGTTAAGTTGTTTTGGGAGAGGCTTCATTTCTTATGCACACAGCCCAGATTTCTTCAATGAGTGTGACAGCTAGTTGGGGATTCCCCCTGTCGGTCACAGAGACTTTTTTATTCTCTATTCTGAGGTCAGTGCTCTGGCTCTGAAGGAAGACATTTGCTTAAGGTCACAGTTACAAAGAAATCACTCCTACTATCTGGAATTCTTTCATGATCTGAGAATAGCACAGAGAGCCACTGATTGCAACCACGTTTTACCGCTGCCCCTGAAATTGGCACAGTCTTGTGTGGTGTCATGAAAAGAAAGAAGCTGAGAATATTTTGCAACAGAAAAAAAGAAGAGTTTCAAGAGTTGGCAAAGGTCACCACCTCTAGTGCAAAGCACTTTATTGCACCAGCTTTCAAGGAAAGTGCCCTATCCAGTATTTGATTTTGATCTTCTTATTTTTCTGAATCAACTTGAGCGAATGGGAGAAAGATTCTTCCACCCTTTGTCTTTTCCCCTGCGCAGGACTCAGAAAAACCTTCCTATTACCCAAACAGCACGGCACTCTGGGTCCCTTTGTTTGCTTCTTTGAAGACCTGTTCTCTTTACAGGATTTTGTACTCAACAGAAGCTATTGCCAGAGAAATTAAAAATTCAGCTGGACACTGACAATACTGGCAATGAGCAAGACTATTGAAAAATAAGTCTCTGTCGGCTCCTAGATGGCAGCATTATTTGTATAGAGATAAGAAAACAATACCCGTAAACCAAAGATTTTGTCTCCTTTCTTCCAACTTTCGGTGAGCAGGAATTAAAAGGTACCACAAATACTTACTTCATAAACCAAAAAGACCATCCTGTACAACAAGGGTTCGAAACCACAGTGCGGTGACAGAAGTGTGCGAATCAGGGCAGACAACAGCCAAACCCCAGGGTGTGAGTGTGCTGCTCGGAGCCATTCACCTTCCATTCAATTTTTTGAAAAAATGAAAGCTTTGTGCTCACAATTTACAACCTCTAATTAAAATGCTCTGAAACAAAAAACTCACACAGTGATATTAATTTGAGTCTTTCCCCACTTAGTTACAAATAGTATGATTCTGGTATGGTTCGTAGTAGTAATTGAAGAAGCTTGAAAATGTGCCTGCCCGTTTATTGAAACAACTAATTCTTCATGTAGGTCCTTATTTTATTTCGCAACACTGGGCTATGTCTAGGAGTGTAATTCATGGATGGTTTGAGTTTGTAAGACCAATCATAAAACATCAAAAGTACTTGTTAGTCATCTCAATATCTGCTAAGATGCAGATGAATAAAAAGCAGCAAGCATGTTATAGCTGACACATTTCAAGAGGGTGAGAATTTACTACTTCATCAACTAAAACATGGAAGAGAAAAGTGGATCATCCCCTGCTTGAGTGTGTAGAGCGAGTCCTCTCCACAGGTGGAATAGACCAGAGAACCACAGAGGGTGCAAGTTCGGATTATCTGACACCCTTTAGCTCAGAAGAACAATTTCAAAAGGTTAGCTTATAAATGATTAAAGAAGAATTGCATAAAATTAAGTACATTGAGTCCATCCTTAGCAAAGACAAACCTAAACAATCTTTTGTTTTCCCAGAAATCAGAAGAAGGATTGGGAATACTTAGAATGATGGCATTAATTTAACAAAGTCCCCCATGGATCTACAGATTTTTATTTCATTTTACATCTTAGAGCAAAGAGTTCTTTTTGATGAATGAAAACGGTGTTTGTGGGCCTCTGGAGGTGAAGAATCATATATCTCTGTCTGCTGCTCTCCCGTGGTGGCCTAATAAAAGAAAAATCTGTGAAGTGTCTTCTACCTGCGCCATGCCATAGTTTTAGAAGTGTATTATGTAAATTCGCCTGTGTTTAGTGAGTGTTTTTCCATTAATTAACTTAGCCTGTGCTGCTATCTCCTTCCTCCTGGTCACATTCAAACTTTCCCAAGGTACAAAGGGATATGTAGGAAGGAATCTAGAAAAAGTATGTTTCATTCTCTGATGTTATAGCTTTTCTATATCTCTTAGTGGGAAAAAAAGTAGAAAATTGAGTAGAACTTGGCCTTGGGTCAATACATAATAGAAATGTGTGATCTAAGTATGTATATGTATGTTTCTCCAAAAATGCGATAAAACCAAAATGTCACTGACTCGTTATTATCCACATTCCTTTCACAAAAACTATTTACTATATACAATAGAAACTTCCTGCCTCTCTCTCAACTTCCTGTTCATTCTGCCCATACCGCTGAGAGTCGTGAAATCTTTTTCAGTGTCTTAGCCTCAGAACTAAATGTTGCAGAATTAACATCATAGAGGGCCTAAGGTCAGCATGTAAGCCAAATACAGTTCTCATTTCTAAATGTAGTCATATGAATGCTGAGCATAGGGAGTAACTCTCATATTTTGGATATTAAACTGTATGTTGGAAAAATGCATATGATTGATGCTTCACCCCGGGATCTTATGAACACTGACTCCTGCTAGGCTGCTAGACATAGGTGTTCTGAGGTACCATCAGATAATGAAATGCACCCGACGGAGATACTAGGCAGAAAGGTCGTTTCTCCAAAGAAAGTAGGCATTTGGGTGAGAGAAGTAACTCTTTAATGAGATAGATTAGATCACCTTTAGCCAAAATGGTGGGTGAACCTCAAAATGCCCACTTCTGTTTGCCAAACTTTCCACTCTGAGTGTGTGTATATATATGGTGGAGTTTGAACTTGAGCAAATTGAATGCTTCTACCTTAGAAGGGATCTGGATCTTCCACTTTTGAGTATTTTAACCTCATTGTTATTTGGGCCAAAGCAAAAACCGAGATTTTATTTCAGCTTACCTGAGTCTTTGCAAAAGAGCTCTTCATCAAGAACTTTATGGACACCTATGATTGTTCCCAATCTGTTCGTGATTGTTTTTATTGATAGTTCTTTTTATCCCTTTCTTGGAAATGTTAATGCCAGAGTTGCCTGAATATTTGAATTTTTTAATTTGAAGTATAGAAAGTGTACAGAATAATTCCAAAGGTGTTAAAAGATTCCGTTGTCAGTATGTGTGACCATGTCATTATGTCCGGAGAGGTTCAAGAAACCCTTTGGGAAAAAAAGGTTCTGTGTTTACATCTCACTTGCTATTTGAGATCTTAAGATGCCAATTAGCTTACTTTTCTTTGTTTTTGATTCCTGATTTGTTGATAAACAATAATAGCCCTGAAATGTTTCTAATCTTCAAATAAGAAAAAATCAGATCAAAGTCAGACTGATGATGCAGTGCTGACAAGGCACTCCCAACTTCCCAGTCACTTGTGTGGACAGAGCAAATGCGGTTAGCTCTAGTTACTGCATTCACTGGCATTCTGTCCATGGAAGAATACTCTCAATAATCATGAGTTCTTGAAGTCATGCAAAATGCAGCAAGATAGGTTCTTAATAAAGATATTGTTGTCCCCAGAGTCAATTTAAGTTTTTCTCAGTAAATTGAAATTGTGTCATTCTCAAATTACCAAATAGATTAGCACTGGTTCACTATGGCCACATTTTAGTTCTTCATAGTAATAGTCCAGAAGAGTTCTGTGGTTTGCCCTTGTGTGCAGGGTCTCCTACTCCCCCATAGGGGGCGCTCAGGAGATGCTGAGGAGGCCTACCTATTTGTCCACTCTATGCTTTTGGAATTCCTCTAATTTATACTCAGAGGGAGCGTACCTGGTGCTGGCTTTCATGGAGAATATTGTATTAAAGGACATAAAACATCATAAGTAACTGTTAAGATCTGCAGACACCCGAAAGAGAACCTTGGTCTTTTCCGGGTATTTCCAACTTGAGTTCAACCTGAAGCCTTTGAAAGGAATGCATTACCAAATGGTCACAAGCTAAGACCTCATCAGATCAAAGGAATAAAAAAAAAAATCTCTGCAGCCAGATGGTATATCGTATGGTTTCTCCAACAAGACTAGGCATTCTCAAGATTTCCCAGGAAGTGATGGGAGGGGACATTCAGCCTAAATATCTGGGTCATTTATCTCATTCACTCATTTCTTTCAGCCTCCTGGAACTCTCGAGAAAAAGAAACCAGAATATTGTCACATTTTTTTGCTATCAATTTCCCAATAGCCTTTGAATCAGTTGTACCTCCACCTCCTTCTGATGTCATTTTTCTTTAAATAAAGTGTAATTAAGCCTGTTTTTCATAACGAGGGGCCATGGAAGTTTGCCTTCCTATTTTGGTGTATTTCACATGGCCTGGAAACCAGGGACAACAGCAGTTGTATGATTGGTATGTTAAGTCAGAAAAAAAGGACTTTACAGATTATTTCTTTTCTTCGGGATCTACAGTAATTTATTTAAAACCGTCATTGTAAAGCTACCCTTTAAAAATTAGGGATTTTTAAAGATCAGTTGCGAAAGAGAAGTTAGCTCTGTAATGGGAACAGTTATGCGATGATTCTGGGACTTTACCTTAGAGCTGCATCAATTTAAATGTGGAAAAAAATGCCCTCCAAGTTTGATTTCCAAGTCTTACAGTGCTGCTAAGCCCATGATTTCCACCAGCTCTTTGTTCACCCACATAATCAGTTACCTCCACAGCCCTTCATTGTCATGCCAGGGGGAGGGTGGCTAGTTTTCGGACTTGATTTTTTTCCATCCTGCAGCAAGGAACAGGATAGGTGGCAAACCTTAGTTTTTTCTTAAGACAATTCAGTGCTCGAGCATCTCTGTTGGAAATGGAATGATGTGCTGTTAGCCAGTTAGAATTATTTTATGTACTGTTACTATGTTTTGCTGATTTTTATATGAAAATATAATTATTCATTCTTGATCTCTGGACACAATCGTTATTATGAGGATCATTTTACTTTGGAAACACTTTCATAATAAAGATAAGTATTAAGAGCACAGTGTAAATGCCCTTTTCTGTAAGCACTACCTAGCTTGCGTTGCTGATAGGCTGCACCTTTTGGACCAGACTCATTTCAGGGCTTACCTCGTCCCACCAGTTTCTCGCATGCCTCCTCAAATTCCAATAATCGCTATGATTACTGAACAAGTATGTTACATTTATGTGTCACGTATGGTGTTTTATTGGGAATTTAGCTAAGCTGCTCCACATACTGTTGCTCCAGCATTTATTTCATTTGGCCATGTGGCCTCTAGGGCCTGAAACTGATACCGGCCCCTCATGCCGCTGCATGCCCTGGACAGCAGCCCACAGCGTCACAGACAACTGTAAGTCCCTGATATGACCTTCCCAGCAGCCATTGTGAACAACAGCCCCCCCTCCAGCACCTGTATGCCTTATACACCCCTTACCTGACACCCCTGTGGAGCTCACCAAATCCCTGTCCTTTTGACTTAAATTAATCTGGCCTCAGCCAGGAACCCCAAAACACTCCACTCAGGGACCCTAATAAAGGCATTGCCCCAGGTCCTGTCACTCTCTGCACCCTCCCTGTACCTCCCTGGGTGGCCCTTGCGGCATGCTGTGTACTTCCCCCAGGAGCAGTGAATAATAAACCTCTCTGTTGCAACTTCTTGCATGGTCTTTTGTTGAACCTCAGTTCACCCTGTGCCCTACTTAACAGATGTTCATGTAACAAAATCATGATAGTTATATGATATATATACACATATATATTATAATATATCTCTGAAAATTAAGCTATAAGAACTTCAATGTTAAATTGTGTGTATAGCACTGCATTCTGGAAAAACTATAATTTATGGAGATACCCATTCAAATATATCAGACTGCTCATTTTTCCAAATTTTAAAGGAGGCACTCAGGACTAAGAATGCAAAGCCTAACACCCCAGAACTGTCCCTCTTAGTCTCCGTCCAGTGCACCTCGCTGGAGCCTGGCTGACGTCGTCTTCTCTGGGCCTGTACCCCACTTCGCTAGACCTTCTCTCCCTCCTCTGTCAGTCCTGCATAACCCTGTCTTCCCCAGCTGCCTTCTTATCTAAACTTACGTCACCTAGTATCTTGAGAGCCATTAGAATAGCACTGACATTGCACCAGACATGCTACCACCACCACCAGTATTATGAAAATAAGCAGACACCCCATGGAAAATCTTGTCAACATTTAACCACCCCCAACAACAATCTGACTCCAAGCACGAGTTATTCTAATATAAACTACCTAAATGTCTCCAAGGCATGAAAATATACACAGTAAGCAAAAGCATCACCTTGGGAAGCCATGAAGTCTCTGTTCTGCAGGTAGAGCAGAGTCTAACTCAATGCACCTGTCCCCCAAAGGGCCACAGTGCAACTCAGCTTCTCTCTAGGCCCCTTCCTTGTTGCCAAGCCACCTCCTCTCTTCCACATCCAGCCTAGACACAGGTTATTTCTGCCCCCTCAGTCTGTTCCCCCCAGCCCTGCACTTGCTGCACCAGGAGCAGTGGCGACAGTGCAACAGCAGTGAAAGGTGGCAGAACAACCGAGGTTGGGTGTGCACCAGATCTACCAGGACGCAAGTGGTCTCAAAACCTCCCCACTGACTGGAGCTCTAGCGCCACACCCTTGATTAACCCCAAAGCCACTGAAGCCTGAGGACACCAGAATTATATCATTCCTGAACTTTATAGAGTCAAAAAAGTATACAAAACCTATATTGGTCAGAGTCCGGGCAGGAAACACAAATCACTGTCAAGAGGGCTGAGTTGGGGAAACTTCAATAAAAGGACTATTTTCAGAAGCATGGGTAGGATCACAAAACCAAACACAGGAAAGTGAGGCACTCAGAGTCCAGCAAGCATGGGAAACCATTTCCACCCATGGCTCTAACCAGGGGCCGAAACAGGTAGCATGGAGGAGAGGACACCCTGAGGGGGCGGTAAATCTGGGTGGGAAGCATATACCCTGACATCTCTCTCTTCCTGCTTTCTCATGCCACCCATTGGCTGAATGCAGGAAGCTGCCAGTGAGAACCCAGGGAGATGTGGGTGGCAGGGGCCAGCCTCCCACAGGGAGAGCGGAGAGCGCTGCAGGGAGCAAACAGAATAAGCATCAAAAGGCCACTGGTATCCTGGGAGATTCCCTAGGGCCCAGAGGAAAATAGGGCATGATAAATGTTTGTTGGAGAAACAAGTGAACCCACTTAGGAGAGTGCTGGTACAATATGAGTTTTTATACCCTGGCTGGTGTGGCTCAGTGGACTGAGCACTGGCCTGTGAACCAAAGGGTCACCAGTTTGATTCCTGGTCAGGGCACATGTCTGGGTTGCAGGCCAGGTCCCAAGTGGGGTGTGTGAGAGGCAACCACACATTGATGTTTCTCTCCCTCTCTTCCTCCCTTCCTCTTTCTCTAAAAGTAAATAAAATCTTTAAAATAAAAAAATGAGTTTTTAATTTTTTATCGATTTTAGAAAAAGAGGGAGAGAGAGAAACATCAATTTTACTGTTTCACTTATTTATGCATTCATTGGTTGATTCTTGTATGTAGCCTGACCTTGGCATATCAGGACAGTGCTCTAACCTATGCTCTAACCTGGAGCCACCCAGACAGGACTAGAATGAGTTTTAGCAATTGATGTTCCATCTGCTAGGAAGCAAGATAACATGAGGATGCACTTCATCTCTAACTCTTTGTGAACTCAGCATTTCCCTGCTGTGAGCGCCTGCTTGTGTCACTGGTGATGAGGGGTTTGTGGCAAACTCAGGTAAGGGAAGCCACCTGTGGTACCAGCTTCCCAGACCCGGGCACAAAGGGCATCAGGGGAGGAGGATGCAGTACTGAGGCTACAGATGGGTCTACAAACAGAGAGGAACTGAGAGGAGAGGGTGTTGGAGAACTAGAGAATTAACGAACCAGAATTGTGGGGGAAAAAAAAAAAAAACAGAGTGAGAAGGTCTTAAGCCCCAGCACTCATGACTAATTTCTGAAGTAATTCTTTAGGCAATAGGTTTATTTTTCAACTTAATGAATAATGACAACATTTGCATAGCCAAAGATAACTTACACAGCAACGGCTCCAGTCCCTGGCTGCATCATCCAATCAGTTAAAAAATATTTATTAAAGAGCCTACTAGATGCTGAGAATTGTCATAGGCACTAAGGATAGAAGGATGAAGACACTTATGGTTCCTGTGTTCATGGAACTTACACTCTGGAAAAAGAAGGGAAAAAACAAAACAATGAAACCAAAAGTACATTTGCCAGGGCTACCGTCACAAAACATCACAGACTGGGCGACCTGAGCAGCAGAAACTTACTCCGGTTCCAGCAGTAGCAGCCAGTCCAAAACGAAGGGGTCAGCAGTGGCAGTCTCAGAATCCTGTGTCCTATCTCCTTGGGTCACCTTCTCGAATGTCTCCACGTGGCCTTTTCCCTGCAAGTCTGTCTGCATCCTCGTCTCCTTTTTTAAGGACAGCGGTCACAATGGGGTAGGGCCCACCCTACTCATATTACCTTAATCACGTCTTTTTATTTTTAAACACTGATGACATTTTTATTACATTAATTTTCCCCAAAAAGGGACAAGATAAAGTTTCAAGGGTATCATAATTTGTCAAAAAGTTAAAATCCTCCACCTTCTGCAATAAACACTGATTTGTATGCACAATTTATTTCTGAGGCTTTTAGGGATATGCACATCGAATGCATGAATGGGAAAGGTCCCTTACTTCATCACCTCCTTTGAAAATGTTTTATTAAATGTTAGCGGTAACATTGGTTAGTAAAATTATATAGGTCTCAAGCATACAGTTCTATAACACACCATCTGTGTCTTGTATGTTTACCACCCAAAGTCAAATCTCCTTCTGTCACCATATATTTGACCCCTTTTAACCTTTACCACCTCTCCCCACACCCTAATCAACTGTTTAAAAGCTTTATCTTCAAATACAGTCACCTCCTGAGGTACTTCAAGGTCAATCTGGGGGACACAATCCAGCCCACACCACAAGATAACTTCACCCGGGGACAAAGGACAAGAGTAGTGAAGAAACAAGGTGGCTGCACGGCGACGGCCAGGGCTCTTCAGACCGGATGGTCACAGGCACCTCGCAGATGGGGGGCTTTGCACTAAGACCTGACTGACAGGAGGTGCAGGAGGGTCTTGGGGGGTTGCAGAACAGCCAGCGGGAACCTCAGATGCTAAGTCTCCAGGCTTGTAAGTTCAAGAAGCAGCAAGAAGACCAATGTGGGTAAAGGGAAATCCACAAAGGGGAATGTGCAGGTGATGACATTCAAAAGTCAGGGGGGTGCAGGTCATGTAGGGCCTGTATCCCACGGTCAGAAGGGTGAGTTTTAGAGCAGGAGTAATGGAAAACTTTCAGGGATTGTCATCTTTAGCAGGAAGAGAAAGAACATGGGCTAAGTAAGCACTGTCCATCCTGACCATGACTGAAAAAAAAAAGACAACTCCAACTTGGAGCGGGTATCGGTGTCCACAGGGGTGGTGGGCAATACATGACAAGGCAGGATGACCGGAACATGGTGGGATGATGAAGAATTAAATGACTAAGTGTTACTGAGGCTTCAACCCACAGTCAAAAATGGAAGTCAGGACGGAGAATGAAGGTAGGTTTTGCTGTGAGGATGCTGAGACCCAGGAGAAGAAGAGCCTCCAAGTTACTTCAAGGAAAATAACTTGCAAAAAATATGACAAATTGGCAATTATCAGCCCAGGGAACCTTAGGGAGAAGGGCAAACTTCCTGACTCAATGTAGTTCCTTTTTGTTGGTACTGTTAGTCCCTTTCTTTGTGTAGTTCAAAGGCATCTATCTCAAGGACTGTGAATTGATGGATGGTTGCAATTTCCAAAGCACCTCTCTAGAGGAGGCGAGCATCCGACAATAACAATACTTGCTTTGTAGGTTCTATAACTTCTGGTTGCATCTGAGTGCCTGTCTGGATTAGCATAGCACTCAAAGAGAAGGTGAGATGAAGAAGAGAAGAGACCTCTTAGGGCTATCCTATTGGGTGGCAGGCAATGTGCTAAGTGCAGAAACAGCTCAATCAAGCCATCCCCTAAAAGGTGGATACAACTTCACTCCTCTTATCCACAGTAGTGATGTTCTGTAAAATGACCATGAACCACGGCTCCAGGAAAAAATACAGGGTTAGGTTCCTGCAAGCCTCTGGTCACAACATTTTCATCAATTGATCAATACATAACCCTGTTTTATGTGTGCTCCTGTTTAAAGGCACTTCTTCCAGCATATGTTGTTAATGCATTAACATCAACCACACAGCCCACAACACTAGAACACATGCCTGAACAAAGCTCGACTGAGATGGATTCTTAAATTTCATGATGTTTTGCAAGATGCTATTAAATGACCATCATTAAAAATCATATACTTATGATTTAAAATTATGTTTAAAAATATTATACTCAAAAATATCTCTTCTGATTATTTTCTCACACTTTACTATCATCTGCACTTTTGAGATATTTACACCTATTGTATTTGCATGATGAAAATATTGTATAAGTGTGTACTACTATGCATTCCTTCCCAACTCTGTTCAGCGACAAAACATTGGTAGCTGGAAATTAGCCAGCCATTGTGGGAGTACTCA